TTCCGATTATCTGTTCGGCAAAAGCTAAGATACCCATGCAAAAAGTACTCCAATTAGATGCATGAATTAGTGCCTCTGCTAACGCTATGTGTAGCAGATAGCTCTACATCAGAATAACTAAAATTAAATATATTTAGAGATGTAAAAAAAAATATGTGTCAGGAGCAGCTAAAATCGAAACGCTACAATAAATAGTAATTTCCTTGTTATGCCGTTTCCACTCGCCGGTGAATTTTTAGTAAAAGCTGTTTGAATACTGTGTCAAATATTAAAACTATACGACTTGTATGCTATTATATGTACTCACTATATCTAATATCATTTAACAACAAGCTTAATTTCTTCTATCACAAAGATTTCGCTTAAGAATTTAAAACAATTATTGTCTCCCTAGTCTTGTTCTATAATGTAGATTGGTATCCTGATCATATCGATCTCGATATTTTTCATTTACTAAATATTTCTGAAATATGAACTTAGGCTCAACATTCTTTTTTTTTTTCCTTAAATATTTAATGCTAACATGAAATTAGTAACTGGAAAGAAGTGTATCACAAAGGATGGTGTTTGACTGAAATCTATTAATTTATTAATTGTTTTTTCGTTAAACTGTTTAAAATAAAATTATACTGAAAATGGCTTCATAATGCTGGTTTGTTTCGAGCTTAAGAATTTAGTTAAGGTAAATATTTTTGGAAAATTATACAAAAGTTTTAAAATTTAAGAATTCAAACTGTAAGTTTTTGACACTCTGTCATTCATTAAAATATTGTAAAATATTATTTAATCGCAAGGATTTAAGATCGATGCTTAAGATCAAGCAGAGGGGGATATCCCTCTGGTAAGAAAAATGTTTATCATTTTCATAACTATTAAGCATATTAATTTTTTCAGATGATTAAAACTTATTCTTGTATATCCTCCATTTTATCATTACTATTACTCTAAATCAGATCCAGAGATTGTTTTTATTGTCTGGGACCCGATGTTCTCACCAAGGTAAAAAAATTAAAGCCATGTTGCTGTATAAAGTAATTCGTAGTGTTTAAAAGTTTATAATTCGGGAATGCAACGCATTAATATAAGTAATCGGTGTCTTTAAAAATTAAAATGGATAAGTAAATATTATTAGTACGTATTTTTTTAATTTATGAGTGAGATACGTATGCAAATTACGAAATAGATTATTACACAAATTCCACAGATTTCAATAAAAGTATTATATAATTTAGCTCTCTTTTGTTTAATAGTAACATTGAAAGTTTATCTTACTGAACAATTGCGATAGTTTTCAAGTTTTATTTCAGGTATTTTAAGTTATTTAGGCTGTTCCGTAGTATGAATAATTATTATTATTTCGAGAATTTTTTGAGCATATCTTTGGTCCAAATAGACCTTAAAGTTTTTGATTGAGGTAGTTAAATTACAGAGTTTTACTAATAGCTGCATTACAATGGATCTTAAGTCCGCTAGCTTTGTGCCACTGAAATTTAAAATCATTCCTTTTCTTTGAAACGTGAGTTGCTTTATGCTTCATCTATCTCTGAGATATATGAGAGGTTAGGAATGACGTTTGTAGTCGCCTGCCCAGAAACGAAACCTGACGCTTTCAGGTTTCGTTTCTGGGCAGTATATGAAATAAAATCCAAATACACAATCTGTCTCTATATTACTTACCTTTATTTTTTTGGTAAAATAATTGTGATACTATTATGTAAATTTACTTACCTTTGGTACACCTATGTAGTTTTGGGAATACCGATATGCTTTTCAGTATTTTTTCTATGTTTAATGTGTGAAAGCACATTTTCGAATGAGGGCAAAGCAGTTTACTTTCAAAAACTACTCAGAAATATATTTTATTTCTTTAAAGTTTCAAACAACTTTCCTATAAATATTTAGAAAAGTGGAAAATTCTTTAGTGACTGCAAATTCTTACTCAAAATTCTATAAATATCTTGAGTTCCAAATCATTGAATCATAAATTTGTTTCAATTCTGCAATATAGCGCTTACGTTTCCAATACAGAAAGGCACGGCGAATACACACTCAAGATACCCACCAAGTAAAAAAATGTTTTGGGTTTATGAAATAGTTTCTGAAATTTAATCTATTTGGCTCATGTCATCACAACATTTATTCATTTCATTTTATACAACCTTATTTGGTTTTTAAATGCCTGCGATTAATATGACAGCTGAGTATTTATGATTAACAGCTCCTTCTTACGAAAATTAGAAAGAAAACTGCTCTATTTAACAGAACATCTGTGCGTCTTTCCATGAATTATCTTATCTCAGAAGTTCCTAGAATTATTTCCGTTTCAAGCTCACACACATTAAAAAAAAATATTTTTTATTTAAGGACAAGATTTTCTTTTTTTTTTTTTTTTTTTTTTTTTTTTTTTTTTACTGTCCCCCCTTTCCCCGTCGATGGTCGGTGGTAAACACTTAGTTTGGCGGACCTTGGCGTTTGGCACATCATTTATTCGGGCAACCCGAAAAGTGTTTTTATTATGTGTCGTCTTGCGGGATAGGATAATTTCTGTAATTTAGTAAGAGTTCTACATGGGCAAAGAGAGGTCAAATCTATGTGCATGAAAATCTGAAAGGTTGTTACTTTCAGTTTGATGGATAAGATCCATTTAGGCTGGGTTATTACATGGAAAGCGCTTTGCCAGCCTCACCAATATGTAGATGTTTTGCTTTGTATGATTTGGCTTCGCTTACGTCTTGTCTACCAACTCCCGTGATGTATTTGTATTTAATACGAGGGTGTGTGTTGCTATTGCAACATTGTTTCACGACTACTCGCCCTATTGCAATTGCTATGCTGCCCACGGCGTTCTAAGCTACTATTAAAATATCAAGAATAAAAGCGATTATTTCTTTACATTTTCGTAACAGGATCTCTAATGAACGGGAAAAAAATATACTGTTCAATTAAAATTTAGAAAGGTACCTACGGCAGAGCATATTGTGTGGTCGACTAGCAGTATTTAATAATCAGATATAAACCCTCTAAAACCTATTTAGAAGTAACCCATGTGTTGAAGAAGCAAATAATGTGATGAATTCAGCAAATTGCAATTTTAATTCAAGTAATAAGAATACTTAAATTAGTTTCTTATCAATTAAAAACAGAGCATATAATTAAATAATTAATGAAATTTGCAATAAAAATTTACGGTTCTTAACTAACAATTTTACTAAAATATTTTTTATTTACTTAAGCTAATCAAAATTTAGAATTCTGAAATGAGTTATTAATGTTATGTAAACACATATCGTAATTTTCAAACACCCCGAATATTTGCTACTAACTCAAGAAGAAGCACACTAATACCGGTATCATTATTAAGGTATTTTATATTTTATACATGTGAAATAATTACAAATGTCATAGAATTCTTTTTGTTAAATTTAAAAAATATTGTTTTTAAATTTTATTCAACAAGAATAAAATTTTAACTTCTCTTTAAAAATCCAAAAGCAAGATTAAAAAAGTGTCTTTTTTATCGGTGTTAACTCAGTGACTCTTAAAATATTGAAGGAATAACCACTTTACTTGCAAAAAAGTGTGCTTTGTTAACAAAGTTTTTTAAAATAGGTATAATGATTGTAATATGAATTTTTGACATGACACTTCCCCCTACTCGTGTTATCTTGCATTTAGGTAATTTAAGTATTATGAGCATTAAGCATTATAAGATTGTAACATATTCTGATATTCCAGCGTTAAATAAATTTTCATATTTAATTATACGAGTTTAATAATCATTTATATAATTCAGTTCTCCCTTCTCAAATGAATACATCTCCCATATACTAAAACCTCTGCCGCAAATAATTGAAATAAATAAGTTTCATTAGTAAGGAATAATAAACAATCCTTGTAATAATGAAGAAAGAAATTCATTTCAATTAATTAAAACTTGTTGCTAACTTATTATAGGATAAGTTCCAAGCTGTATCATTATTATTATTATGAGCTCATTTTTCTATATTAATGTTGTCGTTGACATATGATCTGCAAATTATCTAACTGCTTAATGTAAGATTGTTTTCCAAATCGATATCATTAGTTTTCTTGATATTAAAAAAAAAAAAAAAAAAAAAAAAAACGGACAACAAATGGGTACTATTATTAGAAGCCAAACCTATAAGTTAAAAATACTTAATTTATGTATGTAAAAAATATTTTTAATTTTCAAAAACGTCGTTAAAAAGTCAATGCGTGTTTTAAAATTTTAATTTCTTCAACATTTTTTTTAAAAAATTCAAGTAATAAACAGCTGTTTGCTATTTTAAATATTTCAAGAGAAGTAAATTTTTTGCTTAAAATTTAATTTGAGCTATTCGTTTTCTGGAATTTGACATATTTGGTAACACAGATATTCAACATAATTCCTCTGATTCAGAATTTATTCCTTATTAGAGACATTAAAATGCTTATATTATATTGTGAAACTCTAAAGCTTGTCCTCTTTACTTATTTATTACCTTGAATTTCTTTTTACTTTTTCTTAAAAACTCGTTTTTCTAAAACTTTTACATGCTCCTTGCCACTGTATTAACAGAATAAATCTGTGTAATGAATGAAAGCAATTATTCTTACATTATAAAGTTATCTTATTCTAATTAAGGTAATAATAACGCCAGATAACTTTTTACTGAGTATTATAGTGTTCTTTGATTTGCGCGGAGTGGCTATTTAAATGTAGAAGATGTACGTAATAGAATAATTAAATAAATTTCGAATTTAGTTAATATTTTCGAATTCTATGAATAATATATTAATAATAAAATATGCAACATTTCTTTTAATTATCATTCACGTTGAATCTTTTATAGGGATAATAACAAGGCTTTCCGAAATTCTTAAAAATTATCACTTGGTTTTTCTTCTAAAACATATTTACATAGTCTTTTTCAAGAATGAAGAAATATATCAATGAAACAAAATGCATAGCTAGTAAACAGTTAATTAATATCACTTACCCATAAACTGGTTGAACTGCTCCTTCTCGCCTTCATAAATATGTTGTCTGTTTCTAGTGTTATGCCGTGAATCAACCATCCACGGGTAGATGGGCTTATGCTCAAAGCCATCACTGGATTCTTCTCCAGGGGCGAACATCTTTTGCTCTTGCTCTTCACGTTCAGCATTCTTTGGTTTATCTTCTCTATAGTCTCTGTAGTTGGATGATTCAAAGGCAGGACTCTTTGCAGACCGGGAGCATTCTTCTGCAATTTGTGAGGAAAAGGGGGACATTGACTGGCTCGGAATTCTCCCCTGGTAGGGGTTATACAGTTTTCCCGAACTTAGAGAAGAATATGACGCAACTGGTGCAGAGTTCGGGCAGTTTCCTTGTTGGTAAAAGTTTTGAGGAAGTAAGAGGTATTTCTTTTGATCTTCACTCAGTTTTTCATCAACCACGTTATTACTGTTATCGTCAGCACTAAGAAGATTTTTTGAATCTTCACTTAAGTTTCCTTCATTTCGGGGATGGTTAATTTCCTCCGGACCACCCCCATTATAATCCTTCGACAGTAGTGTTAGCGAGGCGGAGGTATAACAGCTGTTATTAACGAAAGACGACAGGGAAGTTTCGAATGGCATACCAGTTTGTGGTTATTTTTTTTAACCGGGATTTATTTGGCAATGGTTTCTGGATCATACTGTCCCATGATGCTGATGACCACCTCAGTCACGTGGTGAGACGCCGGGCCAATGGTTATGAAGCGGGACCTGTTTTGGGGGAATAGAACAACAGTGGATGAGTGAGCGATTTAGAGTGAAGGGTGGTTATGTATGTGTTGTCGTGCGTTTCTAGGGGATGGGTGGGTATGGTTGAGTAGGACTGGGTTACGGGTTGCCACAACTGGCTCCTTTATCGACTCAATTAATCATAGCGTAATGTTTACTGAAAGGGAAAAAGATATTACCCTTTCATTAAAATTATTTGTTATACCTGGCATCTACGTTAGAACGGAACTAAAATAAAAATAGCATAATTTTAATAAATACTGCGGTATCATAAAAATAAGTCGAATATAAGTATGGAAAAATAACTAGTCTTTGTTATTATTTATTTTTAATAACAAAATAAATAAGAGATCTGGCTGATGCTTAAATATCTGAAGTTTCGAAATACAGCTAAGTCAAAATTCTTCTGCATAGATTTAAAATTTGGAGTACAGTGCGAGTAAAAAAGAATATCATGAAATCTCAATGGCAGAAATAAAACTGAATTGTTACTCATTAATCCCAAAATGAGGAGTTCCCCAATTCAGTTTCTTATACCATAGTTGCTGCTATTTAATATATATATATTTTTTTTCATTTCTAAGTGGAATTGATTACTTGCTTGTAAATGGTATTTAATTATTACTTAGAAACTAATAACTCAGCTTGAAAATACATTAACCTTACTTTTCTTAGAAACAAATTACAGTGTCAGATCTGAAACTTTAAAAAGGTTAGCAAGAGACTTAGTTTTTTTTCTCTCAGCTTTCAAAATTTTTATAGAAGATTTAAATTTCTCTTTCCCTTCATTTCTTTGATGTATTAGTGGTTTTTTGATGTATTCTTTACTAAATTAATATCAGGGAAAATAGTATGTCATACTAATATCAATAAAACTTTACAATATTATTTTTCTTAAACTTCTCAAACTTTCTTCTTCTTCAATATTTTAATAGCTAACAATAACACGAATCTCTTAGCTGTTTCCATAAATCAATGATATGTTTCAGGTAGAAGATTTCACTTTCTCTTGCTATCAAACAGTTCAGAAATATTTGTGTTTCTGACATTTCATGCTATCTGCTGTATTTTCTACAAGTATCTTTTTGGCACGCTTGCAAAAGCGATCTTATTTCGTAAAAAGAAAAGATGTTACAGACTTTAGGTAGTGATCGAAAAGAGGCATGTAAAATATTTATTAATAACAATTCCGTGAAAAGCTTAGATATCCTTACGTCTTCCAAAATACATCTAAAAAACAGTATATCCTCTAAAATATTTTTTATACTTTGCTTTAGAGAAATATTTAAGTATAAAAATATCATGTAAAGCAAAGAGAAATTTAAGAGTAGAAAGATAAGTTCGTTTTTTTCTTTTCTTTTTTTTTTCGAAAATCTACATTTATCTTTCATTTTTCTTTTCTTTAATAGCGATTAAAATGAGCACAATATATATTCATATATTGAAAGGTTAAATTTTAGTAGCCATTTCGCTTAAGAAAATAGCAATAGTGCAATATATTTATACGGAAATAAATTATACCTTATGCAAAATAGTAGTTTAACAACATTTTTAAAATGATAAAAATTTTAATATTTATTTGTTTATTAAATGCAAATTGCAATAAATGTTTTCAAAATTAATCAGAAAAAAATATTTAGAAAAAAAGAATTTAATTCTTAGAAGATATTCAAACAGTAGAAGAAATGACGTTCATTTAAATAAAAAGAATATATTTCAATGCTATCCACTGAGGTAATAAAATCTTAAAATGGCACAATCTTTGTTATGTTCCAAACAAGATCTCGGAAGCATTTCATTTATGAAAAATGAATTTTGGCTAACAGTTATCTTGTTGCTTTTGGCGTTCAACTTCCAGTAACCCTTGTTTAGGGTGCTTTCGGTTGGGATGGGAGGAGTATCAGGGTCTCCGTACCCCGAATTGGGAGGAGGCGGAGTAGTGGCGTGAGGGATGAGCATGCAACTGACAAAAGGGGGATTCGCATGTGCAGACCACTGGTCAGGGAGAGAAAAATAAAGGGGGAAACACCCCGACGTATGACGAGAGGGGTGGGTGCCATTAGGGACTTGTATTAATGAGATCGGCGATCTTTTCCATATTAATACACAATTCACATGGAGATATGGAAATCATGGTTTTTATGCGATTATGGCTGATTTAAAATTGCATTTAAGTAAACACAGAAATAGTAATAAATTTAAATAACATTCGAAGGGTTAATCAAATTAATTGAAAGAGCTGGTATTTAATTCGCTAAATTTAGGATTTTAGACGATAGGCAAAAGGAATTTCTCTTTTACTTTCATGCCTATATTTTGTATTCATAAATAGAAGTCCTTTAACTTATTTTAAAGTAATATTCTGTCTCGTAGAAAAGATCTAATCTTCGAATTAAGTGAACACTGCCAACCCAGAAAAAAGTTAATGGTTAGTATGTTGTACTGTAGCTGATAGGACTATTGTACTTCACTTGCATACCAAATTGTACTCAGTATATAGATGAATGATTTATTGGTTAGGAAATTTTGATAAATGTACTATTTACCACTAAATTTGTTGAGATGTTGACCGAGGGTGTTTTCTTAATTTTTTATTTTTATTTCATATTACTTAGTTTAAATATATCAGAAATGCATCGCTTACAGTACTATATTTATAACGTTAAAGCAAGAAAAATTTTCTTATTTTGCTTTGCTTGAACAATAAATCGTAGATATGAGTTTTTATTAAATCAGAAATTTTATTAAAAATCCGTTTAGTATTCCGATTTTAGCTTATAATGTTATAAATAGGATTCTGAAGCAGAACATCGTCGAAATATTCATAAAATGTTATGCTGGAGAAATTTTCTTCGTCGAGGAAGAAATGCATTTTTTTCAAACTTTTAAAGACTTATTTTACTCTGCACAGTAGTGAAAGATGTTTTCTTGCATATCTCAATAGCTGAAAATTCTTAGCCCCACATTCTTATCTCAAAACTCTTAGCTTAAAATTAGAGCCAATATTATTAGCTTAAAATTCTTAGCTCATGTCTTTCGTGATCAAGTAGAAGCTATTAAAATTTATTTGGGTTAAATCGTTGATATTTTTGTAAAAATATTCTTGTTCAGTTTATGTTATTATTGTCCTGAAAAATGCTCCTCATTTCTTCATTTTCTTTTTTCTAATAATACAACTTCTAATATTTTGTTTTCCCTCCCAAAAGATTTTTCCTTAGTCATAGGTAAAGTTATTAAAATATGTATCATATTTTTCAGCCACGTATTAAATTCACCTAGCCTCATAACGCACCGAATTCTTTGACAACTGAGCCAGATGAAACAAGCATGCCTTATTACATATTACTTATAACATACTTTCCTTATCATCCTACTCCATAATGTGATCTGTTATAATAGTTGCATTTATCCACAAGCTTAAACTGTTAGTGAATGGAAAAAATCTGAGGAATTAGCTTGCACGAAATCGCTATATTTCCGGTTTATTTAATTAATCTCTTGTTTCGTCATCTCTTGATTGTATGCTTTAGATTTATGCTAATGTACTGGCTTAGATTGTCTTAATACTCCTGCGTTATGTTACTGAAGCTAGAAATAGTTAAGCATGGATTTATGTCACCGCCCTTATATGTTTGGTTAAAGGTCATGATCATAAAGTTACTTTTATAAGAGATAGTGGGGTACAGGCAGGTGCTTTCTATTTTTTTTAATATCTTCTGTAGAATCATTTGGATTAATTCCCTATCTTTTGGAAGATTGAATTACATCTTTTGTCATCGCTTTGTAAATAATTTCCTTAGTTTTTAAACTTGCGGTGGTGCAGTACTGTATAGAAAGCATTCCATACATAGAACAAACTGTTTTCATGATTAAGTTCTCCATATTTCATTTCTTTCTAAGAATATCTAGTATTAGCCCGAGGAAATTAAATACATTAATTTCTGTGATCGACAGAAATAACGGCAGTGAATTGATTATTTAAAATGTTAAATTATTCCTTGTAAAATAAAAAATAAAGAAAATAAAAAAATGTTAGATTATTCCCTGATTATAAATTCAAATAAATGTTGTTTGTATAATGAAATTTTTATCTTAGCTGTAGTGTGCTACCAACATTAGAACTGGCATAACCTTTCTTTTACTTTTAATAGGAAACCTAATTTATTGATACTAGTTTAATTTAAGTTAACTAGTTAATTTACGTTAAACGTTGATAACTTTAATATAATCTAAAAAATCGAAAGTAATTCATGATTTACCTTGAACTGGAAGCAAAATATTTTTTCCAATGAATGTTTTCTAATAAAGATTTAGCTTTCGTTTTCTTTACTAGAAGAAAAAAAAATCATTTATTTTTTTTTTTTTAATCTTTTCTATGCTCTAGTAAAATTTCTGTGATTAAAGGAACACCATACGAACTAAAAGAAATTTCATTTTCTAATAAAGGAACTGTGAAATTAGAACTTGTTTAAGAATGTTACCTTTTATTATAACAGAAGGGCAATGTTTGCCCAAATTATAACCAGAATAACCATTAAATAAGTATTTTTATTAATAAAATAATTCCAAAACATGCTTCAAAATAACAGATGAAGTGAAAAATAAATATGTACTTTATTGCCAAGAGCGTTTTTATGTGTGCTAACTTTCTTAAGTTTATTTTCGTTAAGTTACGTCTCTGTTTTATCCCCATTTGAAATATTTAATTAGAGAGCACTTTTCGCTTTTAAGATGGTGTAGAAGTAAGTTGATTTTCTCATTGCTTTATGCAAGAAGACGCTTTAGAAATAATAAATAATTTATTTTTACCTGACTTATTAATAGCCGTATAACTTATAATAAAATTTAAACGTGGTAACTGAAAGTATGCGCGGCTTTTCTTTCATAAATGTAACCGTTAGGAGAATAACTACTAAAATACGAATTCAGAGTAAAATTTGATTGCGGGTATTTTCAAAGATTAGCTCAAAAATCTTTATTGTTTCGTTTATTTCTTTGTTATTTTTTCATATAAGCTAACAACTGATAATAAGCAGCAAAAACATTTTGTTACACCGAGAAACATTTCAAAATAGATCATCTAAATTAAACCATTGCTAACACTATTGGTCATTTGTTCACTTAAGCAAGCCCCCTTTTCCGTCCCCGATTAGACGCATTCCGAAAATGTAATCCATCAAAAGGATTGTTTGCTTCTGGACCAGAGACAAGCCTCTACATTTTTGTGGTGAATAGGGTGGTGGTGGTGGGGAGTTTCTAGCATGTTCACTGAGGTATAAGGTGATCATGAAAATCCTTCAGAAAAGCTGCTTATAGTGGTTGGAGGCTAATTCAAAAGAAAGACAATGATGTTCCTTTATTCATAACTGAAAGAAAAAATATGATTCAAAGTAGTTAAGATGCGTATTTGAAAAATAACTTAATCACCTCGTAGTTTAGATCTGATAATATAAAACAATAAATTAAAATCTTTAGTCCCCCCCCGACCAAAAAAATCGTCAAAACACATGCAAAACTTGTTTTCTCTGAGTTACAAAAATTGAGACATGGTAAACGAAATTTTAATTCATAAATGTAACGGAAACGAGGATGGGAAACTTAATTTTCCGAATTTAGCACATTAATTTTCCATTTTCTTAAATTTAAAAATGATATGCAGAAAGGGCAATTTATGTGTTTGATTGAATGCATAAGTTTAAACGAATTTATAGTACGTAAAAAGAGTGTTCTTGTCTCACTGTCAATTTTTAACTGAAATTACATTTATACGTTTTAATTACTGAGTCATAGAAAATCAAAATGCAAAATATTCGAAAAGAAATTAAAAAGAAACTGAAATAGAACGTTAATTCGTAATAAAAATAATAATAAAAAATAAACATAAAACATAAATTTGCGAGAGAGCTTGAGATTGTTAATTCACTGAAGATTTTACGAAATATTAGTGCATATGAATAGTTACTCATAATTAAAATAAGAAGACAAGTGTTACCATTAAAATACTCTCCTAAAAGATTAATTAGCAGTTAAAATTAATGAGATTGATGGGAGTGAACAATAATCATAGCAGATCAGAAATAATGCAAATATATTTCTTTTAATTCATTTTATTGATATTTTACGATTATCATTGTTAATTTAGTTAGCCTTTCAAGCAAGTAATTTATGTAATATTTTGACTTTAATAGACAAAAGAGAAAAACAATTGTTTCCCAATTGGGAAATTGGGAGTGCCGATAAATTAAAAGTTTTCCCCTCTCTTTGAGTGTGACTAAAGCACCTAAGAAAATATGTAAAGACGAGATGAATTTCCATTTTCTATAGCAATGCGCAAATGTAAAGTTTTTTAACAACTGCACGTCAGCCGGTGATAGACGCAAATTTTAGAACTCATGGGCTAATAATCAGTGATCATTATCCTTTAAGCAGTTCAAAACCAATGTGTCTCTTTGGAGCTAACCTTACTGTTTGATACAGAGAAATGCCTTGAAGATGATAGTCATAGTTATATAGTAATATTAACAAGCTGCTGCAGCTATTCAGGTCTGAATTATTAGCTTTAACCAAAGCCAAGTCAAATAGCTTTTAATATAAATTTTTATAGATAAAATTTTCGTAATCTAAAAATAATTGCGACCTCTTTTCTAAGACTGTGCATAATAACAGCAGCAGTCAGAATGCACATTAGGATTTTCAAGTACATCTGTTGCCAAGCTTGCTTTTTTAAGTTAATAATAATAAATATATTAAATTATAATTAAATTAAAGTTATAAATAAATATATTTAATTTTCAGAGTTGTAATGTATAAATGTTGTTTATATAATTTAGCTTATATTATTACTTATTCTGTGAGGTCAGGCAAGGAAATATATTTTAATCTGCTCAAGTTTACAAATGTCCATTGAAAACCTAAAAACAACTCTGTTGCACATTTGTGAAGCAGCATATTTTTTATAACTAGCAGGAATTGAAAACAATCATATTACCTTCAGAATCAAGAAAAAATCATATTACCTTCAGAAGGCAAATTAAACGTGAAAATTTATCGATATTAATTTAACCTTCTATAAATTGTCCTATTACAGCCATAAACCTTAATGTAACAGCTTTAACTTTTATATTAACCTTAAAAGTTATACTTTTGCTGACAGTCAAACAGTCAACAGCAGCTTAGTGAGGATGTAGGGGAATTTTCTGTCTTAAAATGATAATGTTTTTGTTATGTATCAGTTGAAAGCAGTTAATTTTCAATATTTGAATTTAAAGAAAAGGTAGAAAACTAATAAAATGTAAAAATAATTTAAAGTTATATCCTACAATGAATTCGATTAATAGAAAACTTTTTCTCAGCGTTATGTTTTGAATTTTAACACTTGATATATGGATATAATGTGCATTACGTTAACCCGTGTGAGTCATAATATTTTAAGGTAGTATATATTCTTGCTATCACATCGTACTTGGTTTTCCATTATTTCACGAGAAGCACAATATTTGAAAGCCGCTGCATGTGCAGTAAGCATTTTCCACTACATTAAATCATTTTTTTTTTCTTTTTTTAAGTTTGGAAGTGTACAGAGTTAAATTTTAATAAAAATTTACAGTTTAATATAATGTTAATTTAAAACAACCTTAATATTCAATATTTATTATTAGTATTATATAATAGCATTTAATATTCATTGTTTTAAAATTTTATCAGTTGATATTTATTACGTCAAAATATTATTGCATTAATATCAGTTGACAAAGAAGAAATATAATCCAAAATCTCTTACCATGCCGCCAGCAAATACTTCACGTTGTATTCAGAAGGGGAGTTTGAATTACCACCATGCAAGCAAACACCTCTATTTCTGCTCTTTTGCCTCCGGCAGTCGCAGTGATATGATCGTCAGCATCAGCTGCAAATTCGAAGCATACAGGTCCCGCATACGTTTGACGCAAGCGAATAGACGCATATCATTCTCGAACAGGGTTCAACGCGCATCTATTACCAAACCAATCTAACAGTCTACACTAGAGCAGCGTGCGCCGCAAAATGAACTTTTTTTAAGGCATTTTTTCCTTGTATATTAGTACTGGCGATGGGTGTGTTTGCTTCCGCACTTGAATGCATATCGTGGCGTGTTCTGCGACCGTTCGTACGCCACGGGTAGCACAAGTGAAATACAAACATGGCTTTTATGCAACTCGCGTTAACTCGACGTGTGTTAACTGTTTAGGTTGTTTGTGAGATGCAGCGGGCTTCCGAATTGTTCGGAGACAAAGAAAGGCAACAGGGGGTGGGAATGGAAGAGCGGAGTAATAATGAGTAGAGTATCGAGTTTCAGTAATTTGCTAATATTTATATTGGTTCATTTTACAATGTTGTTGTTGAGAAGGAGTCTTTGAACAGGTTTTACGAAGAAGAAAAAAGACTGGTTGATTAATAAGAATCCAAGGTCATGGCTAAGTAGCTTTTTAAAGCGAAGAATAGGCTTTGATAAATTAGCTGAGGCGATAATAAATTGAATAACGCCATTAGCCCGCAGGGAATACGTTCTTCTTGCAAACAAGCCCCACTTTCGCCTTTTACACAGTACTTCCAACTAATACCAACATGATTAGTTTTCCTAAAATTTCTTTGACAGATAAAAAAACTTTTCGCTTGAATTTTAATAAGAAAAAATCTATATTGAATCCCTTGTTATTTTTACGCTTCTCTGATAAATATACTAGTATATTTCTCGAAGTATGAATATATTAAGCATTCAAACTGTATTCTGAAATATCACTGAAACTAGGAGTTTGGAAAACGTTTTCATTTACTCATGAAAATAAGTAAATTAGTAAGCTCCATTCTATTATATAACGATCACAATCTAAAATATTATTTTGAATGGGATTTCTTTATGCTATGAGAGGTATTTGAAATGAGTCAATATATCGGAATGTATTTACTTCAGAGTAAACTGGCGAACATACACACATACATTTGCACAATATGAGAGCGACCTGATTAATACTTTCGAGAGTATGTGGACAAGTTATTTCGTAGAACATACAGGATGGGTGGTTGATCTGTACATTAATGGGTCTAAAAGTGAAACTATATTTTCAGTAAACTCCGATTCCTAGGAAGACAGACAGAAACGATTTTGTTTGTAATATGTCATTTTAACAGAAATGAATTAGTGATATTGATTTCTTAATTATATGTTTTCATTTTTATAATTTAATATAGTTTTTCGGGTTTTAATTTTCTTGCAAAACAAAGAAGTCTTTGTAAGAGAGACTGCTGCAAGCATTTTCATAATGCAAGCAGTGGACAGCTTAAATTTGTGCTTTCGTGATATAAGCTTACGAAGTTTAAGTTTTATGAATATGCTCTACTAAATCACTGAATATCTAATAAATCGCATCCTTAAATGAACAGTGTGTAATATTATCAGGATTTCTTGAGGACAGCCAACTGAAAATTTGAACATTACATAAGTTTAATAATTAAAACATAAAAAAATGAAATTTGTCTTATAGTGTATTTTCTCTCTCTTTCCAACATATCTTCGTAGTGGAACGGTAGCACATTCGGCGCGTATTCAGGGGGTCCAGGCTCAGGTCTTGTGTGCACATTTCACACATCTCCTGCTTCAGAATAACCTAATGACTCCACAGTGGCGCCCGAACTAAAAATTGGTGGACAATAATTCGTCACCACCAGGATTTGGTGATTGGGTTCAATAATACGCAGTCGTCTTTTAAAATTCGGTGTATATAAATTATTTTCTCCCTCTTTCTGCATGCGTTCGTCGTGTAATGGTAGCACAGATATACAGGTTTCAAGTCCCGTCGAGGGCATTGCACAATTTTTCACATCTCTTGCAGCAAAACAGCCTAATGACTCTGCAGTCTATCGTTACTGAGTAGTGAAAATACACTGTATTTAGTATTTCTTCTTGTATTTAGTACCTTTCTTACAAGTTTCCTACATGCGTTTCATTCCAAAATCTTTATGGTGAAGTTAATAACCGTTTATACTTTGTAGAGACATTAGGAATTTTTTGAAGGCAGGCAAGATGAAAAATTAGCAACGCCTTCGCCGGGAATCGAACCGTGGACCTCTGGAATACGCGCACAGCGTGCAGACCACGACACCTCGAAGACGGGAGAAATACCTTTGATAAAGTCGTGTTCAAAATATAATGCTAAGGAAAGTGAGAATTCGAATTCTTTTAGATCCATAACTAATTATTATCAATTAAAATTTTAGGTTTCAAGCTATCACTATGACAAATGTCATTATATTGTAAATACTGATGCTGCTGTATTACGCGAGACTCGATTCATTTTGGTACATATCGTATTTACGATCTTACTTATGTTTATTTTAAACGTGAAGGGAAATAAAAAGTGACTGATATATTTATTCTCATTCGAATGCTTAAAAGTATCATTTTCTCTAACATCATTCTATGTAAATTATTTAATGTTGGCATTTTCATAGGTAAAGACCTGCTCGCAATTATAATATACATTGCAAACAAACACAGAAATTCAACATATGAAAAAAAAGAAAAAAAAAAAAAAAGAAAAGAAACATTTTACTGAAATGTTCTAAAAGCATTTGAAAAGCTACAGTCAGATAATAATAATAATAATAATAATAATAATTTAATAATGATTACTAATTTATATTTTGCGTTGTTTATAGGCAATTTTAGAATATATTATTAGAAACAAAGCTATTAATGGCTTCTAACTTAACCGGATTAATGGATTTTTGATAATTATTTATGAAAACTTTACGAATTAAATTTGAGCATAACAATTGGTTGAAACGAAACGTGTTAAAATAAGCAGCTTTTCAAAAATATTTCGGGTTTTTAGTATGCTTTTCATCCTAATATTGAAATTTTATCTATTATTAGGTCTGTACATTAAGTTAAATTTCAAAAATATTAGAATTGTTAGATAAGAATGTTAACTTTTCTGATTGAGTCTTCAATGGGAAAATCTCTCGTTAAAAATCTCTGAAAAACTACGCAGAAGTGTTAGATATACTTAAACACATGTGCGTGCAATTTCAATGAAAAATATTTGGCGAATTTAGAGTCTTGTTATAAAAGAATAAGTAAAGTTTTGATTTAAAACTGAAATTAAAAGAAAATCTTCTAATAACTAATTGTTATTTGCTATTGGGGTCAAGTAGCATTTTATAATTGGTCATACTGTTATAGAAATCAGAAAACTGGTAATTCCTTTTCTCTGAAAAGATAGGGATTCCGAATTTCTAGGCTTGAAATCCGGATAAGTATCAATTCTTAATTTTCAGATTTTGATTAAGTAATTCTCTGGCCACTATAAAATCCCCACTGGCTGATGTTTGAGGGCAATCAGGTCTACAGTGGAGACCTCAGTTAATGCTTGGAGGCCAAGGGGAATTTTTCTCACGGACAGCTGCAAAACATGAGGAGCGAAATGACGTCACCTCACGAACACGTGATCGATTGCCCATTGTGGCGGAACCAGAACGGATACGTTTTTAATTACAACCCAGGGATTCCGTATAAATTATTAAAATATACTTTTTTTCTTTTCATATACACCGAGCAAACACCTGTTAGTTATCGCTTCGTTTACAATATTTAATATAGCTACCACCCTGAAAAATAACTAACCATTATTAAACTTGAACAGATGGGGTGAAACATATTTAGATGAGTATTTTTTATACGCATATTGAAAAGAAGCCAAGCAAAGATTGTACAGGCTGATTATTAAAAATGAAGCCTATTATGCCAAGCAACTTTAGAAAACATTTGCTTAGATGTGAAAGACAAATACAATGAAAAAATTATTTTTTAAAAAAAATATTTTTACTCTGTTATATAAAAATTCTCCGCATACTGAGAAGACGGTTATGTATAATTTGAAAACAATATTTTTGTGATTACACTGCTGTATAGATTAACACTTTTTTTCTGTTGCAAAGATGAAATAAGCTTTATTTATTTATTTTTTTTTCTGGTAAATTTTACCTCTCCAACACGAATATGCAATTTAGTTTTTAAGTTACATCAAAATTTATATTATATTTTAACGCCCATAAGTACTATTTTGCTTACATTTTGAGGTTTGGGCAATAAAGAAATAAATAAGTTTTTCGTTTCTCACCTTTTAAGCAAGAATATGCAACTTACTTTTTAAGATTGGCTCTTGTTTTGAAATTACTGTAAATTTCATGATACATTTTTAATTACTTACATCATGTAATGTTTTGCTCGCATTTTGAGAAATCGACCTAACTGCTGCAGCTTTCATATCGTGATATTTCATTTCCCAGGTTTTCTTTTCTTTTTTGTCTAGCTTTAATTAAAATTAGCAACTTTAATTCGGTGGAATGGGCCGCATGGTAAAGAGTAGTGTTCGCCCTTTGCGCTCGAATTTTCCGTATTTTAGAGCACATTTATATTTGGGTAGGTTCTCCCCCCTCCACCAAGCAGCGGAGGCAGCTGTGGGGAAGGGGTGCTATTTTCTCTCCGAGTAAAATTACCTTTGTTAATCTTATCGAATGATTACTTTGTCTACATTCCTATAAATGTTGCCACGTTACTCTTAAAGAGCTTGACTCTCAGTTAAACTTTCTCAAGTGTTTATATCGTAATAACAAAACACAAGGCCTCCTCTTCTGTCACACCGAAAGGACAGCCAGTCGAGCTTTATTAATGTCATTTTCGTGGTCAACATCACGGATTTTCGTTTTCATGCTGATTGCTAAATAATAATAATAATAATCCCATTGGTACCAAAGGAACTCTACCTTTTTAAAAGCAAACTAATTATAGAAACACTGAACACTGGAAACTTCACTTCACTGTCAAATTCCTCTAGCCGATTTGCTTTACCTGGAGGTGAAATTGGTAGTTTTATTAATTGCGGGTAGCATCCGAGCGTCTGATTTATTCAAATGAAAAATTCTTCTTTATATAAATTTGTAGACTTATTTATATAAATTTGTAGAGATGTAGATATATGTCTTTCGTACAACATGTAGTTGTATGAAAGACATATATGTCAACATTTTGGAAGGTAACCCTTTGGGTAGTTTGAAGTCAGTCAATAATTTATTTTTAGTTAACGGAGTAGTACACGAGTATGTAAGCAAAGAATGCTTGATTTTATATTGAGTTTTATTCTAACCAATAAAGGAGGAAAATTATCTGTGAT